ACACACACACACACACACACACACACAAAAGATGTCTCTTTGAAGACTAAGGTGTGCCTAACCCAAGCAAGCCATGGATTTTCAATTGCCTCATTTGCATGTGAAAGCTGGACAACAAATAAGGAAGACTAAAGAGGAGTTGATGCTTTTAAGTTGTGTTGTTGGCAAAGAATACTGAGAAAACCACGGACTGCCAAAAAAAACAAACCAATCTGTCCTGAAAGAAGTGAAGCCAGAATGCTCCTTGGAAGAGAGAACAGCCGGACTTTGTCTCATCTACTTTGGTCATGTCAGAAGGGACCATTCCCTGGAGAAGGATATCACGCTTGGTAAAGTGGACGGTCAGTGAAAAAGGAGAAGACCCTCAATGAGATGCACTGATACAGTGGCTGCAATGACGGGCTCAGGTATAGCAAGAACCATGAGGATGGCACACAACTGGGCAATGTTCTGTTCTGTTGTACATATGGCTGCTATGAGCTGGAGCCGACTTGACACCTAACCACCACCACCCAGTCCTGTATTCACCCACCGTCCTCAACTGAGTGCTATTAACTCATGCTGCTGTTGTGTGCTGTCAAGTCAATCCCAACTCAGTGACTCTATAGGACAAAGCAGAACTGCCCCCATAGATCGTAATCTTCATAGGAGCAGGTTGCCACATCTTTTCTCCTGCAGAGCAGTTTGAACTGCCACCATTTCAGTTAGTGGTTGAGCCCTTAACCACTGTGCCACCAGGACTCCTTATTAATTCATGCCACTAGAATTTTTCAGTAAGTATTTATTCTGTTCAAAGGACTGAGCGACTACAGTGCAATGAATTGCTGAATACGACCCTTCTAGCCATACTCCTCCATTTTGCGATGTATTGTAAATCCTAGTCTCTATGCTAGCCTCCCAGCCTCCATCACCATGCGAGCCATTTCTTTGGCAGTTTGTGAATTCTGTGAGAAGTTACAGTGAAATATGAAACCCGGAGACAGGAGGGGAGAGTACTGAGGAGAGGAGGAGGAGTTGATGGAGTGGTACAGCAGTTTGGGAATTTGGAGCATCTTTAAATTGCTGCCTTATTGGAACCAGCCTTATGTTGATCCCTCTAAAAAAAATTATTTGAGCATCGATACCAAGATAATTGTCAATGATTCTTAAAGACCTTAGTCCAGAGGGAGTTAAGACATGTACATACCTAACTGTGGCAGTTTTAGGTAAACTGCCCAAGCTACACAGTCAATTGGTGGCAAAAAGTAGGATTCAAACACAAGTTTGTGCTTGAGTCCATTTTCTTAACCAATACACTATGCTTTTTGTCTCAGAATGAAGGAGGCTCTAGGCACAGGGAATAATGTAAACAAAGAGAATGGCAGAACAACACAGAGTGCAATCACTACTCAACGGCAGTGCGTTTGCTTTGTTTTTTTGTTTTAGTTAACTCAGCATAGGGTGTTCAAAGGGACATGAGGGTGGGACAGAAAGCTGGGGTCAAATCACTGAAGGTCCTAGTCTCGAGGGACACTCAAGTCAATTGGCATAATATAGTCCACAAAGACAATGTTCTGTATCTTACTTTGAAGAGTAGTGACTGGGGTCTTAAAGGCTTGTGAGGGGTAGGGTGCAACTATTGGTCTATCCCCATCTGGAGCAAAGAAGAGTGAAGAAAATCAAAGATGCAAGGAAATAATTAACCCAAAAGACTAATGGAGCACATGAACCCCAGCTTCCATGACCCTGAGACCAGAACTAGATGGTAACTAGCTACCACTACTGAGCACTCTGAAAGGGATCACAATAGAAGGCCCCAGATAGGGTAGGAGGAAAATGTGGGAAAAAACTCAGAAACAAAAAAAGACCAGGCTTACTGGTCTGATGAAGACTGGTGCAACCCCTGACTATGGCCCTTGTTGTTGTTATGTGCCGCTGAGTCAGCCCCGACTCATAGCGACCCCTCCTTGGGGTTTCCGAGGCAATATCACTACGGAAGTAGTATTGCCCAACCTTCCTTCCGAGGAGTGGCTGGTGGGTTTGAACCACCAGCCTTCTGGTTAGCAGTGCTTTAGCCACTATGCTACCAGAGCTCCTGACTATGGCCCTTAGGCAGCCTTAGGGAGAACTGATCTCAAGTCCTGTGGCTTACCTTTAGGCCAAACCCAGACAGGCCTATAAGGTGAACAATAATACCAGAAAGGCATGCACTCATTAGAACAGTCAACTGTAAGAGACCAAAAGGGCAGCATTTGTCCAGGGATAAAGCTAAGACAGCAAGAATGGACAGGAAAGAAGGACAAAGGGAAATGGTAAACACAGGGAGGAAGTGGGAAGACTGCTGTTACACTGTCTGGATTGCAAAGAATGTCACAAAACGTGTATGAACTGTTTCATGGAAAAAACAATTTGCTCTATAACTTTCATCCAAATCTCTGTCTTTCACACACACACACAAACCACCCCCAAATCACTGAAGGTCCTTTAATACTGTATTAAGGAATTTGAACTTTAATCCATCAAGATGTTTAAAGTCAGAGGATGATATACATCAATTGTACTCTCAACTGGAAGATTAATACTGGCTGCCTGTCGACAGAATGAAAAGGAAGGATTTAGTGGGAATCACAGATGGGCAGTGACTGTAATCCTCTGGGTTGAAGGTGATGAGGCCTGAACCAGGACACTGATGGCAGGAGCAAAAGTGATTACCTGTGATTCAGTACCTGAATGAGGTAGGGTGGGTAATTCCAAGTTTTGGTGCGTGACCGGACAGTGGTACAAGAAGAACTGGAAATACAGGCGGTGGATTAGATTTGGGAAGGGAGAGTTGTTCTTGTGGGTAGTCCTTTGGTGTCAGAGCTGGGTTGATCTCCCTTCTGATAGTTGGCAGAGGAGTGTGGACACATTACTCCCACTTTCTCAACCCATCAGTCTGAGTCCTAGAATCCTTCACTAAATTCAAGTTGTGTTAAGGGTTTATTTTAGTCCAAAATTATTGAGCTACTACTATGTGCCTGGCTCTGAGTTAGCTAGGTGATGTGGAGGACAGGACAATCGTTTATCATTTCCAATGTTCCCTTACTGAAATCTGCTGTACAATCCATGGTTTGTGATAGTTTACTTTGCTCATCTTTCTTGAACATATAACCAAAGCGTTTACGTGTGCTAAGCTCTTCGTAAGACATCCTAAAGGGTAAGAAAAAGGAAGTCTCAGTCCCTGTCCTCTCAGCTTAGAGTTTTACCAGAAGCAGTGAACACAACATTAATTGAACTCAGATTCCAGAAAGCCAGTAAATGTACATGGGACAGGGCAGTACATCCTAGAGTCAGGGAGGCCAGCCAGGGAGATGCTGCAGTAACTCAAGCATGAGTTGATAAGGCTACCTCTGGGAATAAGAATGGAAATGGTTGACAAGGCCTGAATTAGTACTAAGGGGGCACAGAAGAGGGACTACTATCACAATTTAAGCTCAGGTGGCTGGGATACAGGTAGAACCCTGATCAGAACATGGCAGCTTGCCTGCTCTCAACAAATTACTATTCAACATTCTCTAACATCCTTTCCTTCGGAGCAGGGATCTTTGCCATTTTAGGAAGTAGTCAGATCTGAGCACTCAATCCAATGTTTAAAAGCTTCTCCTTGGTGGAGGATAGAGCATGACTGTATCAAAGGCAGAAGGAAAGAAATGGACACTACATTCCTCCTTTCTGAAAGGCTGAGGGAAACTGATTTATTACTATAAATCTACGGTTAGCTTTCCATGCTAAACGTCTCTGCTTCTTTTTTAATTTCTGATATGGAAGAGTTGGGGCTTTTAGCTACTCAGTTACAATCTCTTTATGCTAGACAGAGACCCTCAAGCACTGTAGTGATTATTAAAAGGTTGAGAAGCGGAAGCCTAGGCTGGTGTGCAGAGCTCTACCTCGAGGGCAAAGGCTAGGTAGATGAATCGTCTAATCCCACTGGCCTTAAATCCATCCAAAATCTTAAAAATCAAAGCCAGAAATGCCAAATCCATTTAATGAATACCAACATGCCATAATGTGGATTATGTATCTAAGATGAGAAAAAGGGAAGAAACAGTCGTTCTTGTGGGGAAAGAGAGAGTGCACAGGAGGTACACATTTCAAGGTACTTACCCAAGATTGAGAGAAACTTCACTCCTATTACTTCTACCTACAGCCGTAATCTTTTCCCTTCAACTCGGGCAGTTTGAGCTTTAAGCACAATTCCAAACATCACAAACAAATGGTTCCCAAGAACCTACTGCTTGCTCACTTCAAACAATATGTTATTTGTAACCCACAACTCCCTCTTTTCCCGATTTGAGTGGACAGGGAACGACCATGACACTCTGCTAAGTTTCCACAGATCGTTGGTTTATTAGAAAGTTCTCCCTCATTTTACAGCATATACATCTCTCTCATATGTGATACAGTTAGATACAGCCTGTTATGCTTATAAGGAAGGTTATTTGTTTTCTTTTTTTTTTTAAATCACTATTCTGTAAGTTAAAGAAAACTGCCCCAAGGCAGGCAGAGGTGGCCAGAGTATGGCTCAATTTACAAGCTAATGGGAAGCTGCATGGAAATGTTAATACTGTTTTATTTAAATATTTACATGGGCTGAAAACAAAGAAAAATGAGTTCCTTCACTTGAAATAGATAATTTCATTTTTTCCAATTCTAGGCATCCAAAAAATAATGCTTCTGAATCAGATGAGGTGCACTGAACAGGTAGGGGCAGTCAAGAATCTCCTCTGCCCAGCGCTTGCTTCTCATAACGCAAATAACTTTTTCTTTGGGGAATTCAAAAAGACAGCCAGAACACAGAGCCGTGGCCCAGGTAAGCAGGGTTTGTTTTTCCTGTCAGGTGACCACCCAGCCAAGTCTAGTCACAGGAATGGGTGAGGAAATGCCCAAGAGGGAATGAGAGCTGCAGTGAAGCACATCTGGGTCGGTGTGTTCATTAGGCTGACAGCTCTAATGAACAAAACAGCAGGGCAGAGACTGAGGTGGTAATGCCTCTGTCAGTGTCACGGGAGAAAAAAGGAACCTTTACTGCTTAAACTGTGCTGGGCAGAAGGCATGGAAACTATGAAGCAAAAGAATCTGAAGTGTTTATAAATGTGCTCACCTCCCAATAAAAGGAGGAAAACGGTCCCAACTCTATCATTCTCGGTCTACTTCAGTGTCTAGCTAACCCAAAAGGCACGTTAAAAAAAAAACTGTCAGAGGGGACACTAAGGACTAAGAAGGCAAATAGAATGCCTGGAACAAGGGGTCCAGGAAACCCAGGGGATCTCCTTCAACCAGACAATCACTATGAATGTCTCACTGCTTCCAGAGAGGCAAGCTCTTGATCTCCCCCTCCTCCTGTGGGGCCCACCTGTTTCTCTGAACAAAACAACGAAGCATGTGAAAGACACTGTGGAACTAAGCATCCCTCTGACATCCCCAGCCAGTTGCTGCCCATTAGCTCAAAAATCCCAGTGCTGGGAGCACCACTTACTGCAAATTACTTAACATTTTGTCCCAGCAAAAAATGTTAAACAATGTATGTTTGTTTGTTTTTTAAACATTTTTATAGTTCATAACTTCAAAAAATACATGAGCTTGATAAAATATACATGCTTAGTCATTTTTGCATCTAGCAGAAAACAAATGCTTTATTTTTTGTTTTCATTTTATAACCTTTAAAGTTTCTTAATTCAACTAGGGAAAACATATTTACATAAAGCCACCAGAACAAGGATCACTTAAAGAGCTGGATGTAAAAAATATTATTGCAGTATACTACAAATATGGAACCTTTTTATATGAGCTACAAAAAGCAGCATTTACGTTTATAGAGTTCAGTGCAATTTTTTACATTAAAAAAAATCCTATAAATTAAGAAGGAAACAACAACATGACAGAAGAAAAAAAAATACCCTTCAGACACATGAGTTCCTCTCTGGGGAAGCACAGGGTGACTCCATGCTCCACACAGCTTCTATTCATGATAAGATCTTCTTTTCTAGGATATGCAGATGCCTCTTCTGGGATGAGGGACAAGAGGACAACAGTGCCTAAGTGTGGCTCTGTATGGGAAGTGGATCGAATCACAGCCACAGCAGCATCGGATTCCCTGGTTCCAGGTCAGACTTCCTTTCCATCTCACTTGGGATAACATTAGTCACCAAAGGATGGCCAAAGATGCTGATCTGAAGTGGTGGTGCATTCACCACCTGAGGGACAGCGTGGCCTCCCCGTGGTACTGAGAAGGCAGGACCAGATGGGCCTACGCAAGTGCTTGGTGATAACCCGCCAGCCAGAAGGAGGAAAATGTTTTAAGATTTATAGAAGGGACTAGCAGAGGACAAAAAGTAGAGGGAAGAGAGGAGTCTCTAAACTTGACAGTTTAGAGATGTTTCTGCAGAGGGTAGATAGCACTTACTGGTGTTCCCTAGCTTAGAAACATAGAAGAGGGAGGGACAAACAGAAAGAGGGAAAGGAAAAAAAAAAAATCCCTGATAGTAAACCCAAAGTAAATCTCAATCTACAACTGCCCCTTTAAGCCAAAAGTCAATTCTTTGGCTTTTGAAAGACGCTGCCCACTCCAGCTTCTGCTTGCTGGTATCAATGGCTCATCACCCCCAAAGGGAAGATTCATGGGTCACCTTCCCTGGTTCTACCTGGGCTCCCATCACCAACTCATGTGCCATGGCTGGGGGGGTGCTGCAGGTCTTGACCTGAGAAGATGGGGTGAAGTAGTGGGTGAAGGTGGAGGGCAGTAGCAGCTGCTGCAGCAGGCCGTGGGGCAAGCAGGGTAGGGTAGAGGGCAGCATGTGGGACAGGGTGGAAGGTGAAGGGCCCAGGATGGATGGCTGAGGCAGGAATGATGTGGATGGGATGGCTAGCAAGGAAGGTGGCAGGGTGGCCAGGGATGATTGAGTGAGTGAGGTGGGACAAGGAAATGGGAGTCAGATGGGGCTGGGGAATGTGATGCACTTGGGCAAGTGGCTGAGGGTGAGGGTGGGGGTGAATGCCAATGGCAGCAGCAGCTGCAGCAGCATGATGTTGCAGGATGGCATGCTGAACAGTTGTGATGGAGGTGGCAGAGGCTGTGGCTGGCTGCTGAATGTGGATGGGCTGCAGGGCTGGAGTGGCTGGGGCCAGGGCAGCTGAGGCTGGGAAGGCCTTTACTTGCTTGGCCAGAAGCTGCTGCTGAATATGTTGCTGGGCAGCCTGCTGGAGCTTACTGTACTTCTCCATCTCTTCAGGGGTGAAGGTAATGGGTTGGCTCTCCAGAGGGGCTAATGAGGCATCCTCAGCCCCATCTGCTGATTCAATGCTAGGCTCCCCACTGGGAGGTGCGTAACTGGGGAAGTGCTCAAGGTCTGGTGCTATAGGCAGCAAGCTGGATTCCACAGGACCTGGTTGACTGCCACTATCCAGGGACTCTAGAGTGTCCCCATCACTGGGGTCAGGGAGGTAGTTATGGGAGATGGCTGGGTCCCCAGGGTAGCAGTCAGAGTGCACAGAAGTGCCCAATGGAGCTACAGTATGATCAGCAGTAGCCTCTTCAGACTTTGGTTCTTCTGGAGGTGGGTCTGATAAGGGGCCACTGGTTTCCTCTGAGGGGAACTGATGCCCAAAGGGGGCATCACTACTCCCTGGGGGCCCCTCTTCTGCCTCTGACTGTTCTTGTTCTTCCCCTCTTTCCAAGCTAGACTCTTCACATTTCTTGGTGTTGGGCTTCCGGGTAGCTGGAAGCTTCCCTATCAGTGGAAGGACAGGTTTATTGCCAAGAGAGGGAGGCAGCTTAGGCCCAAAGTAACCTTGTGGGGGGTCCTTGAGCTTGAGCCCAGCTTTATTAGGGGTGGCCTGCACCTCCTCACTCACACTGGGTTTCCTTTCCATTTTCCTCGACTGGATCTTCTCTAGTAGCAGCTTGGCAGTGACAGAGTTCTTATCTTCAGGACTGCAGTCACCATCTGATCCCCTTCCAATGTTGCTGTTGTGAGAGGGTGGGCCTATCCCTTTACCATCATCTCCTCTGCCATCTTCTTTTTTCCCAGTACCTTCTCCTCGACCGGATCGGAAATAGTGGGGGGACTGGGAGCGGTAGATCTTGGAGCGAATGAAGTCCCGACGACCAGATCGCCTCTCCTCAGGGCTCTCATGACCCCATGAGCCCTTCCTGGACCCTGATCTCTGTGAAGGGCTCCTGGTACTGCGGCTGCGGTCTCGGCTGTAGCTCCGGCTCCGCTGCCAGCTGTGGGCTGTGGTGCTGCGGCTTCTCCGCTTACTCCGGCTGCGACTACAACTGCTGCTGTGGCTGCGGCCCCGGGATCTCGAGCGCTCCCTGGAATGGCTTCGAGACCGGCTGCGGGACTGGCTGCAACTGAGGCTATAGTCATCATCAGAAGATGAGTATTTGTGACGTTTGGACCGGCGCTTGGAACTGGCATAGTCTGAGTCATCAGAGTCATGGGAGCGCTTGGAGTGCCTTCGTGATCGGTCACTATAATCACTGTAGCTGTCATCAGAGTAACTGCGCTGTCTACTGTAACAGCTCTGGTCGGAAGAAGCATCTGAGCTACTTGAGTAAGAACGCCGGCAGGAGCGGTGTGAGGAATGGTGCCGACCAGACCGTGAGCGGCTACGGGAATGCTCACTCCCTGAGTCTTCCTCTTCCTCCTCACTGTACTGGGATGGAGACTTCTGGTGCTGCCGGTGTGATGAGGCATCATCACTGTCTTCATCTCCACTACTGGGTCGGCTCCTATGGCTGGATCGGCTGCTCCGTTTGGTGCCAGCTCTTCGCTGGCAGGATGCTGCTGGAGGGTCACCTTTGTGTTTCCTCCCACCATGGTCTTGGGAGCTGCTTCCGCCCCCACCTTCATCTTTCTTGCCACTGCTCCCCTCTTCAGCTGGGAGGGATCTCCGCTGGGAATCATCTTGAGCTCGATGTCGTCTTCTTGGTGGTGCTGGGCTGCCACTCCCAGGGGGTTCTGGTTTGGGGCCTCGTTCAGAATCTGCAGGAGCTGATGACTTATTCTTCTTTCGTTTTCGTTTCTTGCGCTTCTTAGACTTCTCTCCAGACTCTGCTTTAGCGCTTTTCTCTTCTGGGTCAACCTTGTGTCTCCGTTTGTGTTTGCTAGATTTTTTGTGCTTTTTCTTTTTGTGTCGGTGAGACTTCCCTGATCGTTCTTTCTTGCTGGGAAGGCTTCTCCCTGTGTCTTCTGTCTCTGACCCATGGCTGCCCCCAGGCTCCTGCTTGTTCAAGCTGTTGCAGGCAGATCCTGAAGCAGGTGCATCCATTCTACTTCCTGAGGAATGTATTACATTCCCTTCTCCCTCCTTGCTTTTCTGTGGCTCTGTAGGATCAAGGTCGTGGAGATGATCCTTTGAGGGGCCTCCTGTATCCTTTGGTTTTTCTGTCCCTTTAGCTCTGGCATCTTTATTCCTTGAAAGTTTAAAGTCAAAGTATAAAGGGTTACAACTGTATGAAATGGATGGTTCTGCCTTGGTGAAAATTAACAGTTCTGATGGCCACTGGAGGGCAGTGCTTTCATCTTTGCTCAAAACTGGGAAGAAGGGACCAGTAGGATGTTTGGGTCCTTCCTGGACTTCTTTCCCTGCTGGGGTGGCCTGAGAGTTTTCTTTAGAAGCATTGGACTCACATATTTGGATCTCTAAAGCCTTCTGACTCTCTAAGGTTTGCTCACTTACATCTCCTCCTAAGGCCTTCTTTGTCTCAACTTTGCTTCCAGGCTCTGAGGACTCGATCACACTGCTTTCCTTCTGTGGCTCAGAGACCTCACTAGCTGCCTTTTCTGCTCCTTGACTTGCTGCCACCTTGGCGTTGCCTTTAGGCTTGGGAGAATTGCTTTTTTTGCTTTCTGGGTCATTCTTTGGGTGTGCACTATTATCACTTTCCATTTGTTCACTGGCTCTCATAAACAGTAAGAAGGGAAAATTAGGTTTGACTTTGCAGTGTGCTGGGGGGATGTAGTGGTAATATTCTGGCTCTGCAGCCCCAGCCCCTTCTTCTCGCTTCATTCTTTTTAACTTAGATAATGTCGAGGCAAGGGACCCGCCATCCGGGGGGTCGTCGTCCTCTTTTTTAGCATCGAGATTACCACCACTATCAGGGTCTACCACTTTTGGCAGTCCTTGGTCAGAACCCTTCTCGTCAGCTTTTGTCCCTTCTTCAGAAGTTCCTTCCTCTGCGTGATCTTTAAAAACTGATGCTATTGATTCAAGTTTGACAGGAGCCTTCTTGGCAAAAGAAAACGACACTCCCAGTTTTTGCAGTGGGGTCCCCAGATTATTCTTAATGCCAAAACTAATGCCTTGGGAAGCTAATCCAGAAGACTGTGCCAGTCCAGTGGTATTAGTGATTTGTACTGTAGTGAAAGGGCCTCCTTTATCTGTGGAGGATTCAGAGCCAAGGCCACTAGTGCCAGTGGCACTTGTTCCACTGTTTGTAGTTGAGTCATCCTTTTCATCATCTCCACCTTCCTCATCTACAGCCACTGTGGTTGGTCTGAACATAGGACCACTTCCAGGTGCACTACATAACAGTTTAGAAAAAAAAAAGATAGGTTTAGGGGTACATTTAATAAATCTTATAAAAATACCCATCTTTTATGTTCTACTATTCATGACAAATGGTCATTCCCTAGACTTGTACTACCAAATAGAACTTCCTCAGTTAAAGTCAGACAAAGTCTCATACCGTTAACCTACCAAGCTAAATTTCCAGGTTGAGCCAGTTATTGCCATTTCTTCCTAGGTGGTTTAAAATACAAAAAGTGAGCCTCCCTCAGAATTCAAATACAACATCTTACTACCTGGTACAGTCTACCCTGTCCTGTTTCCAATCTCATTTCATATTATAGTATCCTATACTACCAAATGTATGGTTGTACATCTATTCATACAGATTGTGTATTTCATTTTCATTTAGTTAAAAAACCAACCCAACAATAAAAACCTAATTTCCCCTGTGCTTTCAAATCCATTTTTAAAAATATGCACATTCTCTGAGTTAAATATAAACAGAGCCTCTACTGTGTTACTCATGGCATTCTGTGGTCAAAATTCCTGTTTTTGAAACTAGAGTCTAAAAAAAAAAAAAGAAAAAGAAAAATTAAGAGTCTATACTAATCTCTTAGGTACCATATCTAAGCATTTGCTCTGTTTTTTTTTTTGGTGTTTTCAGGGCATTCAACACCATTTATCATGATGCTACCAAACACTTTCTCAGTTGTGGTAACAGAAACACTGAAGTGTCTCAACACCAGTGTTTTAGGCTGCCTATCTTGTCTGACATTTTGACAGTATGTGGACAGGTATGCATCCCTTGCTAACCAAACTCAAGAACTGAATGAAATATATATAATACACACACACATAAAGCCCTTGTTATCAGAACCTCAGCTGTTAACTGTCCTAAACTCTGGTACCAAATATACTGAGATAATGTGGTATCCTTTGCTGTTAACTGGAATAAAGGAACCAAACAAATTTGGGTAACAGAGGATACTTATAGAAACTACCCCATGGAGAAAAAAAAAAACACCCTCAAATTGAATAAAAAGGGGATTTATTTTGATCTTTTGCTTAGTCTTTGCCATGTCACTTCAATAGTACTATAGGGTCTTGTATATACTCTTAGGAAAATGAAATGATGATGGAACAAAATCTTCTTTTATTCTCCTGAGTAATTATTTGGTCATTTTTTCAATTGTTCATTTATAAAAGTCACCTCTGAAGAAAAATATGTATCAAAATATATCCTGAACTAACTGATAGACCATGTGACCCTCAGCCTGTATGACTAGGAGACCAGAAGAATTAGATGGTGTCCAGCTATTACTGTCAACCACTTGGAAGGTGATGCGTGCACAAGATCCTAGATAGGGTGGGAGAACAATGTGGAATAAAACTCAAAATCACAAAAAAACAAAAACAAAAACAAAAAAAAACCCAGCTTTGCTGGTCTGATAGAGCTTGGTGAGACCCCTGAGACTATGGCCCCTAGCCATCCTTCAGGTACGGAATTGAACTCACTCCTGTGGCTTCCAGCCAAGCAACAGGCAGGCATATGGGATGAACACCCACATCAGGTAGATACACTCCCTGGAGCAATCAATCATGGGAGAACAGAAGGGCAGTGTCTGCATAGGGACACAGCTTGGGGGCGGGAATGTAAGGGAGGGAAGAACACAGGGAAGAGGTTAACACAGGGGAGGAAGTGGGAAAAGAACTGTTACACTACAGAGATTTGCAATCAGTGTCATGAGACAAAATGTGTATGAATGCTGCACGTTAAATGAATTTGCTCTATAAACTTTCACCCAAATCACATTAAAATAAATAAATAAATAAATAAATCCTGAACCACAAAGTGGCCTGGCATATACTTTTTAAGGAGGTATCCTTACAAAAGGAGTCCCAAGGTAATGTAAATGGTTAAGTACTCAACTACTAACTGTACAGTTGGTAGTCTGAACCCACAAAGAGGTGCCTCAGAAGAAAGTCCTAGTGATCTGTTCCCAAAAGGTCATAGCCTTGAAAACCCACTGCAGTTCTACTCTGCACACATGGAGTCACCATGAGCAAGAACTGACTCAATGGTAACTGGGTTTTTTTTTTTTTGTATCCATGCAAAATGCCCAGGAAAACTGTGTTTACTACATAAAGAGCTAACAAAGAAGGAATGAGAACTGGTTTATACCCAGTGTAAGTCAGTTCTGGAGCTCACAGGGTAACTCTGCTTCAAAACTTCAAAATTTACACTATAGATATATGCTTGACCTTCCTTCTTCTGCCAAAATACAAGGCAGACAAGTAAATTTAAAAAAAAAAAAAAAAAGGACTCAGGAGACAAAATAAACCTATTAAGTTCAGAAACTGGGGAAGTCTGACCCAAATTGGCAATAAACTTTTAAAAGCCACAATCATAGCATCTCTATTGTAACTAGCTTCTTCTGTTGGTCCTAGCAAGACAGTAAAAACAAGCAAAGGAGTGTAAGTCCTTCAGGTTGACACGCACAGCTTACGAAACTTAGAGCAACCTCAAATTCTCAAAGACTGGGTGCCTAGAGTCTAGCTGTTTGAAAATTCAGCCTTAAACCAAACCAAATCCACTGCCATTGAATCAATTTCAACTCACAGCAACACTAAGGGCAGAACAGAACTGCAAATCACAATTCATCCAAATCACAATAAAAATAGGGTTTCCAAGGCTGTAAAACCTTACAGAAGCAGATTGTCTCATCTTTCTCCTGTGATGCAGCTGGTAGGTTTAAACTGTCTACCTTTTGGTTAGCAGCTGAAAGCTTTAACCATGGCACCGCCAGAGTTCCTTTAATTCAGCCTTGTTGTTGTTATGTGCCGTTGAGTCAGACCCAACTCAGAGCAACCTCTCCTTGGGTTTCCAAGGCTTTATCACTACCGAAGTAGATTGCCCAACCTTCCTTACAAGAATTCAGCCTTAGGTGGGTAAATTCATTTTAAAGCTAAACACAAGCCCAAATTGATAATGAGCAAGAATTATGAAAGGGCATTAAAAAGAACACTCAAGGCAGCAGGAACCTGCAGAGAGAGATAAATGGATGGAATTTTTTAGATTTTAGAGTATTTGAGTGTTGAGTACTAACTATATAGTGCTTAAAAGGTAGTTACAACATTTGAATCTGTGCCAAAATATTTTGTAGCTATAAAATGTTGTTGTTGTTATATGCTGTCGAGTTGGCCCCGACTCATAGCGACCCCTCCTTGGGTTTCCGAGGCAGTATCACTACGGAAATAGGATTGCCCAACCTTCCTTCCGAGGAGTAGCTGGTAGGTTTGAACCGCCAGCCTTTTGGTTAGCAGTCAAGTGCCTTAGGCACTATGCTACCAGAGCTCCTAGCTATAAAATAGAATGGTGTAATATATGTACTTTCCTATGCAAGAGAGTGTTGGGGAATGGAAATACCGACAATAACAGCTGCATCATTTATTGAGCATCTACTATGTGCTAGCCACTCCTTCAAGCATTGTAGATCTATTAGCTCATTCACTCCTCACAACTGTTAAGAAGCAAATTGTTATTATTATCTACATCTTATAGATAAGAAAACTGAGTCACAGAGATCTTAGTTAACTTAACTAAGGTCACAGAGACAATAAGTAGGTTATGGCCTGAAAAGTAAATGCTCTTCAAAGAAGAATGAAGAAAATCAAAGATGCATGGAAACAATTAATCCAAAGGACTGGTAGACCAAACGATCCTCATCCTACATGACCATGAGACCAGAAGAACTAGATGGTGGCCAGCTACACTGTCAACCACGCAGAGGGGGGAGGGTCTATGTAAGAGATCCTGGAAAGAGTGGGAGAACAATGTGGAACAAAACTCAAAATCATTAAGACACAGGCAAGAGGTAACTAGGGGGAGGGACTGGGATGTCATGAGACAAAATGTGTATGAACTGCTGTATGGAAAACGAATTTATTCTGTAAACTTTCATCCAAATCACAATAAAAATTAAAAAAAAAAAAAAAGTAAATGCTCTTAACTACTATATTATATACTCAAATATAAATATGCCTTTAGTTTGAAAGGACCTATTAAAAATCTTCTATGTAGGTCACAGTCTTGAAAATACTTTGGAGCAATTCTACTGTGCACACAGGGAATCACTATGAGTCGGAACTGACTCGACAAAAACCTACATCAACGACAAAGTCCCCTCTGAGAAAATATCCTCTCACCATTCAGCTTGTTTCCTTTGCTCTGCCAACTCATGAAGCCGCCGAAGGGCTTTTTCCTGTTTCTTCTCATCCTTGCGGGATCTTGAGGAGACATTTCGAGCAAACTCTCTCTGCTTGAGATCCTTCAGTCTCTGGGGTAAGAGAAAGAAAGGAAAAGAGAGTAGCTGATTTAGAGTGACACTGGGATCCTGACAGCAAGGCCTTTTAGAATATTAACTCTCAACCAATGGTTACAGGGCTAATGTAGAATACATTATTATTCTTCATTGTAATTGAAAACATAATGGCTGATTACTTTGGGTAAAACACTTGGAATATCTGCATTTCTAATTATGACACACAGTATACCATTTGCTTTACTGGGCAAAACAAAATGACTTCCGAAGCAAAAAGCAAATTTTAGAACACTGGGAGGAAAGAAAAGGGACTATTTAATCACCTGTTCTTCCAGGATGCAAAACTAGACAAACAGAGCATGAGATAATCTTAACAAAGGTCAAAGAGAACAGAAAGGGATTAGGCTAGTACAGAAAACACCCAGGTATAAGATCTTAAAAAGCAATGTACAGCTTACATGGGGAGGTTATATGAATGAGAGCTCACAAATAGAAAAAAGCATACTTTTATTTCACCATGAAAAGGTGCTATTATTTCTTTTCAGTGTGAAGAGATTTTTCCTGTTACTATTAAACAAACCCTAGAGGTCCTCCAATGCTAGCATGGTCAGAGCTCACCAGTCTGACCACTTTCATCTGGTCAGTCTGCTAGAACGACAGAGCGTGTGGTTGCTTTTCATTCTTTCATGGCCCTGAGAAGAGCATCCAGGGGAGGCAGAGCAGAGCTAAGGCAAAGAATTTACTATTTAAAATTCAGGTAACAGAATGGGTCTTTTATTTTCAGAAGCTACTGTTTAATTTTCCTTATACACAAAAACAAAATTAAAGAAACAATAATTAGGACAAAAACAAAACAGTGTCATGACATACTGGTGACAGAGTCCAGACATATCTATCTGCAATGAAGACAGAACTAAAACCGTTTTCAACACACTAGGTAATACAAAAAGCAAACAAACAGAACACAACACACACATCAGCCTGCACTTTTGTAACAGCATTGCAAAAAGGAATCTGACCCAATATAAAGTGGACATTGCTTTGTGGAAAGGAATGAAGTTCAACAGACAGAGGTATCTTTTTTACCCAATATTTATGAAATGTGTTTTGAATTTTTATTGAACTGGGTGGGTAAAAGGGTGAAAAGACAAACACAAAAAAAGATATACAGCTAAAGACACTAGTAGAGAAACTCACTCGTGTGATCTGGGCTCCCCAATTAGAAGGATTTGCTTTCAATACATCAGCTGAAAATGTCACATCACAAAGGAAAAAAAGTAAAAAATAAAACAAGAGTGGAAGAGAAAAAAAAAAAATAAAGCAAGCATTACTACACAAGCTCTCTTAGTGAATCTACAAACTATTATACTGAACAATCAGGGACAAAGCCATCACCTCTAACGAGGATGGGGAGATGGGAAGCACCTGTACAACACATATATGTACACACACACTGACACAGTCATAATTCCACCTGGGCAAATGCCAACACTTGTATTTCTTCTAGGAAAATGGTTACAGAACTTTGGAAAGGACTGCTGCTATCTAAAAGTGGTCAGTCTTGGATTTTTCATTTTCCTTTATTTTGGGGGAAGTTCAAGTAACCAACAGTTGGCAAAATTATTTCACTGAGGCTGGCTGCCCAGAATTAAGATTTTTATAAAACCACTTCAAGATTTTAAAGTATTTTAAGTAAATATGAATTCCAATTTCCTCCTTCCCAGGGGTACTGGGCAGAGGAAAAGGGGCCAAAGAGCCTTCCATGAGGTTATTTTGGGCCACAAACCTAATTTTTTTCCCCAAAACACTTAACAGGCTCTTTAGCCAAGATTTAAATAGAAAGCATGTTTTTATCCTATCTGCCGTTCCCTCTTTAGCCATTTCAGTACCCTGGAAGATTTCCCCATGCTCATTCTGTCCCTCTTACAAGTATTTCATCACTTTTAGGAGGTGTTTCTTAAACTACAGGACACTGTCCAAAAGAGCAATCATTTTATCAAACTCCGTAGTCTCCAGGTTGAGTTACACATTAGTTATGCTTTCCAATCACTCAGTAGTCACTTGGGCAACCTTGAAGTTGAAGGGATACGACAATGTGAACATCATCCTAAAGATAGCCTATCTCAAGTTCCTACCACAGGTATATACTAGAGGTGTGGTGGGAAGAAAATGGGATGTCAATAAAACATCCAAATTGCAGGCCCCCTCTGGGCAAAGCTATCCTGGTACTAAAGGGTATAGCTAACACTGAGCTCTGGTAGCATAGTGCCTAAGGCATTTGACTGCTATCCAGAAGGCTGGCGGTTCAAACCTACCAGCCACTCCCCTAAAGGAAGATTGGGTGATCTACTTCCGTAGTGATACCGCCTCAGAAACCCAAGGAGAAGCCGCTGTGAGTGGGATCCGGCTTGACGGCACTCCTATACCACCTTTACTATCTTTGTAATGAAGTCTGAGGTCTCAAAAACAGAGCTGGAAACACTAAAATTCTAATCCAAACATCTCAGAATAGGGCTCAGGGCTTGGCAATGCCCATCTTCCCCAACCCAAAAGATGTATCTGAGGATTCTCTCAGATGAGGACATTCTCATAAAAATAACAAGACATAGGTTTTAGAGTTTACCTTTTCATCTACCTAGAATGAATGCCTAACTCCAAGTCTCTTCTTCCTACGCAAGGTCAAACTAAATTCCCCTCACAAAGTCTGCTGACATCTTGTAAGATAGGATTTTTCTTCTTTCTGAACTACTCAGCAGTCTGTATGTATATCTCTTTCAACATCCATCACATTTTGGTCTCTGACTACAGTTATACATGCCCTACAGAAAGACAGTATATATAAAGTTTCAAAGTCAGAAACACTTAAGTTCAAATACATTAATTACCAGCCAAGTCATTTCATCTCTGAGCTGCAGTTACCTTACTAGAAAGACAGGACTACCTATCAATAGATTTATGAGATTAAGTGTCAAAATAAATGTAAAGTACTTAACACATCACACTTATTCCAATATTCTCCCTTCATATGGGATTGGAGCCAGGGCCTATCTTTGTAATCAACTCTGAAGTGCATGAAGCAGTACTAAGTCTGGTACTATACCTGGTGAATAACTGGCTTAAACATGGGATCACTGATTTTTCCCAAATGAAATTTCTAGGAAATTTGTAGTAAAGGTTGATATTTTTGTATCTCTACTAGTGACATGGAAAAGCCCTGGTGCTGCTGTGGTTAAGTACTTGGCTTCTGCTCTGTGCAAGATGTGGCAGTCTGCTTCTGTAAAGATTACAACCTTGGAAACCCTGTCCGAAAGAGCTGCTATGAGCTGGAATGGACTCGACAGCAATGGGTTTACCAGGGTTACAGAAATTCAGAACATAGAGTAGGATCTTCCTGGCTTTTACTCTTAGCACTTAGTCAGAAGGCTCATTCTTTGGAGAAACAAAAAGCCTAAAATCTGAAGCTCTTTACTTCAGGGAAAAGTTGAGCCAAATGGCAAAAAAGGTACTGACCAAAACCTAATTTTTATCAATGTTGTTAACTGTCATGCAGTAGGACCCTAACTCATGCACAATGAACCAAATGCTGCTTCGTCTTGTGCCATCCCTATGGTAAGTCACAGATCTCACGCTGTGATCCACAGGGATTTTATTAGCTGATATTCAGAAGTAGACTGCCAGGCTTTCCTCTTAGTCTGTCTTCGTCTCGAAGCTCTGCTGAAACGTGTTCAGCATCACAGCAACATGACAATTGGGTGGTGGCTGCATAGAGGTACACTGGCTGAGAATGGAACCTAGGTTCACTGAACTCTCTCTGCCCCTCCGATAAAGGTACAAGGTCCTCATTCAGAATCAGGTTTCCCAAAGTTGCCTATTTTATTCCCAAAGGCTACCAGGCCTGGGACATTTGTCACTCAATGTGCATATGAAATTTTCTCTGTGAGTTGGTACCCTGACATTCTCAAGAGGAATACAGTATCAGATAACTTCTTTAGGTGAGCACAGAGGAGCAACATACCTGCCTTTTGGAGAAGAGACAGAGCTCATGTAAGGAGGCCAAAATTTGTATGTGGCACACCAATCCCAAAACTCCTGTCAAAGACTGAGCAAATTCCTTACCATAAGAAAAAATTGAAGTTAAATTCAATCTGACTGGATATAATCAATCATTTAAACTGACTCCAAAGCTACTATGTCTTTACCTCTGAAAATTATAAAGAATGGTTTCTAAACAGGTGTTCATAAATTTGCTTATTTTATTGAAAAATCTTGTCAATTAAAGTTTATTAATAGAATTTTGCATTAAATAATATTTTTAGCCAGAAAAATATTTTGATTCAAAGAACAGAAAGAGACTGAATTTCATTCAAAATGAAATAATCTAAAGATCCTATTTTCTTGAAAACAACAGTATGTTTCAAAAAAAGAAAAAGTATACATTTTTGGCATAAAATAGAACGGACTTTCTCACTGAGTCCCAATCACACAGTAGCTGGGATTCCCATTAAATTTTCCAAAAGTCCAGTAGAGGTTCTGATCTAGCACTTGATATCCACCCACACAAATGCAGCTCTTTGGGCTAAAGACCATTTCAAATATAAATTACGTTCCAATTTGTAAAGTACAACTATACAGAACTATGTTGGCAGAAAACTGTCTTATTCCAGACACAAACTCCAGCTTACCATCCAACTGAATAAGTAAGTCAGGAAATTAGAATCTGGTAAATCTTACCAGGTTTTTAATGTGGGTAAATAAACTTGCAGAAAAGATCACCAAGCATCCAACTATTTCTCTTTAAATGCAGGCTTCGTGAGCCGAAGCATCTGCCTTACTATGCCTACTAAAACAAGGAAGTATGACAACCTGGTGTTGTAGAAAATCACCCTTAAGGTGGCCCTCCAGACATAGGAGTTCTTTCTATAATGGATAGAACTTTAAAAACCTTATTGCTCTGTCAATAGCAAGAAATGATACTGTTCCTGCTAAACTGTCTTTGAGCTGGGAATGAATGAGAC